TGTGGAGATGAGAGAGCTGGAACCTTTTCTCAGATTTTCCAAAGCCCCCAAAATAGGAATGACCACTAAAACAAATCGCCATCATCATAGAAACTGCCATTTATCAAGTGTTGATCATTCTACCCGGGAGAATGGGGATAATACACTCACCTGCCTCAAAGGGCTGCGGGGAGGATGGACTGAGAGAAAACATTGCATTTGTAAAGCACTCTATAAACTTTGATTATATTTTATCACTTTAATTATTATTATCCATTATCATCATTTTCATTGCCTCATTAGTCTTCACAAAAACTTTATTAGGTATGTATGATTATCAATCCTGCTTTGTAGAACAGGAAATCTGAGGCTTCAAAAGGTTAAATAATTAGCTCAAGGCCACAGAAGAGCCGAGAAGGAGCTGAGGCCTGGCCCTCAGTCCAGATGCAGGAGGGGAGGGAGGGCAGGAGCACGCCCTGAAGAGCCCAGGCGGAGGCAGGAGGCAGACCCAGGCTGGAGGGGAAAAGCAGGCTGGGGCCTTTTGCTGAAAAGACCAGCAGGCCTGGCTAACTTTGTGCCTCTCCTAATCAACAACAGAAAGCCAGGCTGCTTAAAATAATAATGATTAAAAAAGAAAATCACCCCCTGCAGCTGGCTATTCCCAGGCTCCAGAGTGAGCCAATGCCTCCAAGTGTCTGAGAGTGCAGCGAGTTAAAGGAGCTAAGCAGCGGCTGCCCGGCACTGCTGGCTGAGCTCCAGGCAATGTTTTCCCTTCCAAACTAATACATAACTCCGCTGAACACACCACTTGAAAGCCAAAGAGATGCCCCTAGGTTGCCATGGCAACGTTAAACAGACAAAACATTTTAACCAGCTCTGACGCACACACACAAACTTACTGAAGGGCTAAGGGGATGAATTTGGTGGGGGAGAGGGGTTGGGGCGGGGAGTGTTGTTTCTAAAGGTCCATCTCCAAGGATTTGGCCCCAAAAGCATCTAGGTCAGACTGAAACAGGGTACGGGACTCCTTAACAAGGAGCAGAGGCCTGGGCTCACTTTAGGAAGGGGAAGCAGCTGCCTGCCTCTCTGCCTTTTGGTCCTATCTTACGGCCACCAAGAGCAGGGTGCTGAGGGTGATGGGTTCGGATGGAAAAGCAGCAGTCCTTCAGTCCTGGGGACAGGACCTTGGTTTCTCACCCCGCCCACAGCAGACTCAGGAGGGCCAAAGGTGCACGTGAGCTTGTAAACCTTAAAAGTGCCGTGCAGGCACTTGTTAGTGCTGTTATTAAAGATATTACCATTTCCAACCGGTAGCATTTTCATTTCCTAGATTGCACAGTTGAACACCCATCCATAAGAGTTGACGGCCTTGGGTTCCTTCCTTTAGAAAACTTTGTTCTGAGGTCTACTGGGGATTGCTTCCCCAGAGGCAGGAATCTGGGGAGTGATGAAGAATGCAGAAGGCTCGTCCCAGGTCTGGAAGGACCTCCACGCCTACGAGTCAGTCACGCTCTGTCTCTTCCATGCCCCACCTTCACCCTGGGCACAGCACAGCAAAGGGCTGATGCTGCTGAAAGGCTGGGAGAGCCTCACCACACACAGTCTGTGGCAGCCTGGTGCGATCAAGGAACACATGTTTGCAAAATCTTCCTCTGTGGGGTCCATGATATCCTCAGGTAAAGATTCTCCAGAAATTTGTTTCCAGCCTGGCTGTCTCTGCTTAGAATCCTCTTCCACTCATCATCCCCTGTAGTTAACCTTCTCACCTTTCAAGACTCACCCTTAGAAGTTATTCTAAAGCCTCCCCTGCCCTGGGTTGGGTGGAATGGGCCCCCACTGTGCCACGCACAGATGTTTGTGGGAGCAGCTGCAGCATTCTGTTGTTCTAGTTGTTCTCCGGTCTCTTGCCCACTCATTTACTTCTGAGTTCCTTGAGGGCAGGGATCACATCTTGTTCACTTGTGTGTTCACCTGGCTAGCCCAGTGCCTGGCATTAGTAGACACTCCACGACTGTCTGCTGATTGACAGTCTAGGCCTACGCAACACTGAGGCCCATTATGCTCGTGTGCTGCTGGCCCTGGAATTCTCCAGCCCATGTTCCACAAGTGTCTGCTTTCACTTCCCCATCCTCTGAGAAGAAAGCAGGATTTGACGCAGAGCCTGGGTGCAGGAACTAGAGCCAGAAAGGGGCCACCTGGGCGGCCTGGTGGGTCAGGAAGGGTGAAGGGAGGGAGGAGAAGGTGTGCTCTCTTCCAGAGCTCATCCCTCCTGCAGAGCTCACACTCCCACCCACCCTTTAACTGAGGACATGAATTGGCCCCTTGAAAACTGAAATAGCACCCTCTCCACGCCTGCTCTGAAACAAAACTGCTTTTCTTTGGCTCCATTATTAAAGGCCCTGCAGGTGTTCTGTTTTCTTAATGAGTGACCACACTAACTCCATGCTAATTATTTTGCGGAGAGTCACAGTTACCCTCCCAATAAGATACCCTTCTCAAACTCTTATCTCATGATGCGTCATCTTCCTTCTGCCAAAATGATGCCCTCCATATACCTTCCCCTTTGGTCTTCTCCAAACAGGCAATATACAGAAAACAACAATAACAAATGTTTATCACTGGCCACCCCACATATAGCCTAATTTGGAGGCTAACTAACTAGGAATCTAGAAGTGGTAGTTCACACTCCATGACATATTCTCAAATGACACTTCGCATGAGCGGAAATGCTTTAAGCCCGTATACGCTTATGTGCACACACACAGTGTCCCCTTGGCCAGAACATGGGTGTTGACCTATGCCTGTCTATAAGAACAACTTCCTTTGTGACCTGGTGAGTTCGGCCTTATAGATGTGTCACTGTTATGATGGAGGGGCAAGGACAATGGCCCTGTTGTCCTTCTCATCATCTGTCTCATTCCCTACAGAATGGAATGACTATGGTGAAGGTTCTTACATTTTCCTGCACTCACATCCTGTATGCTGAACTATTCTCTGCTAGGTTTACCACAAGACTGTGTCTGCCTCCCGGCCCCTAAGCTGGAACTAATTATCACAGACAATTATAGGATTTTATACTCAAGTGTTCTAAAAAAAGTCCGCAAAAAAAAAAACAAAAAAAAAAACCCAAAACAATGTAGCACTGATATACTGAAAGTTATAGAGAAACCACAAAATTGCATTGGTACTTTAATAGTATTTATAAGTAACTTATTTGCATATAGAACTAAATTTGCAAAGAAGAATATGAGGTGATGATTATTACAAGTTGAACATCCCAAATCTGAAAATCCAAAAGCCAACTACTCCAAAATCTAAAACTTTTTGAAAGCCAACATGACACTCAAAGGACATGCTCATCGGAACATTTTGGATTTGGGGATTAGGGATACTGTAAGTATAATGTAAATATTCCAAAATCCAAAAAAATCTGAAATCCAAAACATTTCTGGTCCCAAGTATTTGACATAAGGGCTACTCAACCTGTATTTTCTAAGCTTGAAAGCAGATGTTAGCAACAAGGGACACCTACAACAGTAGATGCAGAAAATACAAATGTGCCAAATAGAAAAAAAAAAGGTTGACTACCTTAGAATGTCAGTTCTACATATGCATTATAACGGGCTGGGGCAATTGACTCTAAGTCTATCCTAGAGGGAAATAAAGCATCTCTTTCATGTGAAGATATAACTGCATGTGTAAAATACTTGCACTAAAATTAAGTCTTCTATCATCCAAATATTCTCAATTATTAATACACTAGACAGCTGCAGTAGCTGTAGCAAAAAATAGCAGCCAAGCTTTTCCCAAAGTCAAAGCAACCATGAGATGTCTGCCTGGGGACTTTTCTATGTAAGGAGTGGCTGGTCTCTGGATCAAATAAAAAGAAACAAAACCTCCAGTGGAACAATAAAAAAGGAGAAACTTGTTTCAGAATGGAAATGGGAAAATGACACCCCCCAAACCTCTTCAAAATAAAAACGTTTTTGTGCATGGAAAAGAGCTGATTGAAAAGGCTGCCTATCTGCCCAACTCATTGGGCTAAAACAACTCAGAAAACTAAATGGTAAATCCAAGGAATGCTAATCACTCGCATGTATTCTAAAATGACATCTATAAAATTATGCTTATTTAAAAGGGGTGAGGTGAGGTTAGAGAAACAAATTATGCCTTTTTGAGATTTCTGGAAGCAAATAAATGTCCAGCACACACACAAAAAAGTTGTCCTTAAGTTGCCACCTTCATATCCTAAACAGGTACCAGCATCATCTTAACGGACTCTAATAACACATTCTTTGTGTGAATATTCATGCTTGCAAAGTGTTTTGAAGCAAAAAGCTAAGCACTCAGAGTATCACAACTTAATGTTTTCTGAACTCAACAATGAGCACGAATTTTAATTTGAAGATTATGTGCAGGACATGCAAGAAGAACAGATTTTAAAAGATTAGTTTTGATTTTTTTTTAAAACAATAATAACAGAGCTTATATGCATCATACCAGAGAGAATATCACTTGTCAAGGTTACATTGAGAATGGTCCAGAGATGACGGTACATTTCACATTTCCTGTCACAGTTCTGATTTCACATCATTCTACCCTCTAAGGGCACTCAGACCCGCTTGCAGTTTCTGATTAGTAAGATACCATCAGCTCATCAATGCTCAGCACCATGCACAAACACATATTGTCGTGGGTCTTTGAGAAAGCAAAACGTGTCACAGCAGTTCAAGTTCTAAACATGTATATGTTTGCACCAGTTCTGTATAATTTGTGTCTAAGAGCAAAGACAATATTTCATTTTCACTGTCTCACAATCTACATAAAAATCACAGCCATTTTTCAATAAATGCCAACAAATGTCAGAAGCAGAGCACAGCTACTTGGAAATGGCTGTGAGTTTATTAATATAATCCCCTGGAGTAAAGCATCTGGTGTAAATGTTTTCAAGATGGTCAATACCAGTTAGAGGGAGGGCTTGCTAACATAACACAAACACACACTACCTATGTACCACTCACCATTTGCGACCTGTTCTTCGGACAGCCATTGATGTCTTCAATCTTTTCATTTGCTGAAAAAGGAAACACAAGTCAGAGAGACATTTTCAGTAGTAATGTTGAGGCCAACCAAGTCCTAAGGCCCACACTGGAGTTTCTCCAATCAGCGCAGGCATGTGAAATGCTGAGACACTTCTAGCAAGCTTCAGGACTTACTCATCAAGCTGCCGTCCCCCAGGGACAGCTGGGGCAAGGTCATCATCTGAAACAGAGACAACTGCATTGACGACAGTCTTGGAGTGATGGGGCGTCGTGGAAATGCTTGGAGACTGGGAAACAGAGTGCGCTGTGATTGTGCTTTAGGCTCTTAGAAAGGCAAAGAGGCAGCTACGACTTTCCCACAAAAGACAGAAGAGCTCAGAGTGGATCAGTCCAGCTACCACTCAGCTCCTGGGGACAAAAACCACAAACGAAAGCAGCTCACCCCATCTTCTGTCAGAAATACTAATATTGCTTTTGTTTGTCCTAATACTATTCCCAAAGCAGTGGTAAATAAGGAAAATGAGAAAATGAGACTTAAAAATGGCTTGACCAAGGCTACATAGTGAGTCCAAATTAGATGAAGGAACACACACACTTGTTGAAGTTGTAATAGCACCTAGCTATTATGATTAGAAAGAGATAGCACTGAATTAACAAGAAATCAAGTATGGATATAAAGAAGGAATGGCCTAGCTTCTCAGGGTGAATGCAGACTGTCATTAAGTGTGGAGCAATTATGGAAAGATACAACCCAAGATATCTATGGAGAAGGGCAGTGAGCATAGTGGTTAGAGCACCAGCTTTGGAGGCAAGGATACCCAGTTTGAATCCCAGCTGTAGTTTCTTAGGTACGTGATCTCAGCCATGTCACTCAACCTCTCTGGGCCACAGTTTCCCAATCTATAAAATGAAGCTAAAACCACTGACTTGACAGGAGAAGCAATGAGAATTAAATGACACGATGCCAATAAAAAGCTTAGCACAGTGGCTAGCACACAGAGTTTTCTTAATGTTAGTATCATTAACCCAATAATGCATAGTCTTATCATTAATGTAAAATATATAAAATAAAAATTTCTGTTCAACTTCTCCATCTAATTAAGCTCAGAAACTCAGCTAGAATTCCATATTAAAGAATTAAGGATGCACCTGCTCTTAAAGCCTTTATAAGCACCTCCCGGCCCCACTGTCCCATGTCCCCATATTCCCATGCCCTCACCCACAGAAGGGTAAAGCACAGTCACGACTCTGTTCTCACAGCACCCTGTATCTGCTTCTATTTTGTTCTTACTCATCTAATATGTAATTCCTCCTTTTCTTGTCTCCCTCAACTATGTTGTAAGAGCTAAGAAAACATACAGAGCTTATTTTTCACATTTGTATACTGAGAGCTCAATGACTGCTTGTAAAATTGAATTACAAAAACAAAAATAAAAATCAGATTTTAATAAATATGATGCCTAAAATTTCCACGAAGAGAAAAGGCATTAAAAACTGTCCAAAAAGGATAATCAAATCAAACTGTCCCAAGCCTCTAAGATTTTAGAAACTGGAGCCTAATATGATGAAATAAAAAGAATTAAAAAAAAAAAAGAAAGAAACCGGAGCCTAAATATAGCTCACCATTATTTCAAATTGGGTTTACTTTTTCTCTAGTGTTTCTACCTTGACACAGAGGTGAAAATTAAGAAAGCAGGCTAGTGGCAGGAAATTGTTTAAAAATCTAACCACCACAAGACAGCATGGGTAATAGAAATTCAGCCTAATCTACACATTCTTTTGAACTTGCCAAAAGTAATAGATCCCAATCTTCAGAGATCCAATGGAGTTTTCTCAACTCCACTTAATGTAAGAACACTGGGGTAGGCATTTTAGAAAGCCTTACTTCCAAAAGAGGTACCATGAATAGCATATGCAAAATGCCCAAAGAATGGAGTGACGTACAGATATTTGTTCTTAAGTTCACCAGAAAATACAAATAGCCAGAACATATTGTCATCGTGTAAATGCCACAAGAACAGAGATTTTTATCTGCTGTGTTTCCTACTGTAACCTCAGAGCTTAGGACAGTGTCTGCCACACAGGATCCCCTCAATAAATATTCATTGTTGGAACTAAGAAATGAGTATTCAGAACAGCTCAGTGAATCCAAGTCTTACTGTCTATTTTCAGGCAGCTGTCCTTCCACTTGTAAATACAGCTGTAGATACTAGAGCAGAAAAAGAAAGACCCTTGACAAACGGCACTCCTTCATATGTGGGAAATTATGGCAGGCATGAACTCTGACCTTGGACTTTGATACTAAGCATTGGAGAAAATAAATATGTGGGTTTGGAGAATCAAGGCCAATCAAGGTATCTTCCAATTGGATACTCACGATGGCCAAAGTCATAAGTCACTGGATTCTGATCAATACCCAGTTCAGGATTAGGTCGTTAGTGCTCATTACAGTGAAGGATGAATGACTGTGATCCTAAGAAGTCATTTTAAAGATTCTTTATATACCATCAGGATAATGAAACCAAAAGGCTTGTTCGAATTACTCCTCTAATTCCTTTTCATGGTGTGTCACCTAAACCCAGTCAGGTGCTCTTTGAATTCAAATATCCTGACTCCTATAAGCCTAAAGCTGCCATTTTACGACAGTCAAGACAAACCGATAGGGTGAAGCCCACCATGACCACTCTAAAGAGTAATGGGAAGAGATACATCAACTGACTAATCCAAACTCAAAATAAATGCTTAATAAAAATTAAAAAAGCTTTGGACCACCTAGTTGCCAATTTCTTATAATTTAAGCATAATATTTCTTCTTTACTTAAATTCCTAAGAATTTCTATGGTTGTCATCAAGCAGCTCTGATTTGGCTGGTAAGAGGAAAGAGCTTGGTCTTCAGAGCTGAATTCATTAACTCGGGGCAGGGGGTCTTTGGCTGGAGCCCAAAAGCAATCAAAGAAACAAAGGCATTTGTCCCCAAAGTCCTCAACTGTGATTAAAAGTGGCATCCTTAAGTGCCAATGGTAATTTATTTATCGCAGCACATTAAGACGTTCTTAGCTGCACTAATGCAGTACCTGTCTGCACTCAAGGTGACAAGTTAGTGATTAGAAAGCATCAGTGCACTTTTAAAATAAGAACTGTGGCATGAAGCTTATTACTTTTCAAAAGACCTCCATTAAAGGATTCAGTGCATTCCAATGGCCTGTGTGCCTAGTCTATGCATTTAGCATCCCTGGTAGCTGGCAGTCCTGCCAACGGGAAGAGAAGAAACTGGCTGCCCAGAGCAGCAAATGACTTACCCAAGATCACACAATGGTAGTAGGTCATCGACAGAAAGAAGGCACAGTCCTACATGTTGTCTAAATTACCTGGTTGCACTCAGAGGCAACCCAAATGGTGGTGGAAAATAAACTGTTATCACCTTTTCCCATTTCTAAGGGGAAATCTTCCTCCCTCTCTCTTTGCTCCCCTTTTTTCTCCAGTCCTCTTTTGTTCATCCTTTCCCTCCCTCTCTCTCCTCTTATTCTTCTCTCTCCCCCTCTCTCCCTCCCTCGCTCCAACCTCTTCTGGCATCCTCCCGAGTGACAGCGGCGTAAGCAAAGGAGGGAGGCCTGTCTCTCTCTCTTGATTCATGCTGTTTATCCTGGCCTCGTAAACCTTTCTCATAACTCACAGAGATGGCACCGTGATGGGCTGGCAGGCAACTGCCGACTCCGGGCTGCTCACGACTCAAGAAGATAATCATACTAACGAGAGGTTGAACGCAGGGACCCAACCTTCAGCCGCCAAAGGAAGGGTCGTAAAAGGCAGCAGCGAAAGTTCACTTTCTGCCTAATGGGCAGAAGGCAACGACGGAAAAGTATGGGCCCCTAACAATCCCACTGTCTAGGAAGCCAGCTCCAGGAGCATCTGAGATAGACAAAGACTCAGGAGCAGTGCGTAAGAAAAACGTATAAGGTTTTCCTTGAGGTCACGCATCTGATGTCGCTTCCCAGCCTGAAAAGCAACTCTTCAACCACTGGCCTTTGCTCTTAGGGCCAACGCTTAGAATTCATTGCCCTGTACCTGGTAGCCCCGTCTGATTTGGCCACACTGACCCTCTCTGGTTCTACCCTTCAGCCTCTCTACACACTATTTCCTCTGCCAGGAATGCTCTGGCTCTCCCTGGCTAACTCCTACTAAAGTTGGAGGTCGTGGCTTATAGAAAATTCCTCGGGGAACCTCTCTGCTCTATCATGGCTCAGGTCTCATAGCACCACCACAGGTCCTTAACCATCATGCACTACACTCCCAGGCATAGAAGGGGCTGTCCCTTAAACAAGACAATCTTGCTGCCTGCAAGTTTTGATCTGTCTTCATTGAGATGTATTTTCTTTTTAACTTCTCATTTTGAAATAACATTAAATTTACAAAAAACAAAGTTATAGGAATAGTACAGAGAATTCCCATATACCTTCTTCATTCATTCTCATTTTCTCTCTCCTTCTCCCCCACCCCCCATCGTCTGCACAGGAACACACATCTTTTTTTTGCCTAAACCATTTGAGTAAGCTACATAGATAATGCCCTTTGAGCTTTACACTTAGTATGTATTTCCAAAGAACAAGAATATTATCTTCCAGGGCATAATTAGAAAATTCTGAAATTTAACACTGATATGATTCCAATGTTCCCATTTTTGCCAAATGAATCAAAAATGTCCTTGGAGCATTTTATTCCCCTGTATGGGATGCAGTCCAGGATCACACAGTATATTTAGCTGTCGTGTTTCATTAGTCTCCTTTACTCTGGAATAGTTTGTCTGCCTTTCTTTGCTTTTCACCGCATCATGTTTTTGAACAATACAGTACAGTTTGGGTGGGTTTTCTAAATAATAGAATGTTCCACAATTTGGGCTTGTCTGAGATTCCCCATGATCAGTCTCAGGTCTTCCGTCCCTGATTGGACTACAACATTAATGCTGTTGTGTTCTTCTCAATCACATCAGAAGGCACATGGATGCCACCTGTCCTTTACCAGTGATGTACTTTTG